TGGCCCTCAGGAGGCCTGACAGTGGCCTGTGGACAGCCAAGCTCCCTGCCTGCTGGCAGCCCCTCCCCGCTCTCCCAGCCTTCCTCTGCCTCTCTCGGGGGCCTTGGAGCTGGGAGCATTCACTTTGGGGCTGCAGGGCCACTGGTGGAGGCGCAGCTGCTTGAGGACCACGAGTCCCTGACGACGACGGACTGTCCCCCATAGAGCCGGGTCCCTGTTTGCAGTGCCCCCATGGGTGCCCTCCCCCTGCCTGCCGGCCAGCCCAGGCCCCTTCTTCACATCGGACACGGCCTTGGGGCAGTGGGAGGCGGCGGCATGCAGGCTCACCTTGGTGGCCGGGAAGCCACCTCCACTTCAGGGACTGTGACTGCCAGCTGGGCCTTGTCTCCATTGCCTTAACACCTGGAGCCCCGAGTGTGGGCACTGGGAGGCCCGGACACCCCAGCAGTGGATGGCGAGGAGTGAAGGCCGGTGTGAGCGAGGGCCAAGCAGAGGGCCCGAGGGTGGAGGCTCCGGCAGCTCACTCTCCAGCCCAGCTGGAGCCCCCATGCTGCCAGGGGTGTATGGACACACAGCCTGAACGGTGCCTCCTTCCACACCTTCACAGGGGGCAGGGGTCCCCCCCATCCACCCACACACTGCGCAGGGCACACTCCCTGCCTACTCTTGGGAGTCCACCTCGGCTACGGGGAGTGGGAGGGATATTTTGCACCGCAAAGGTTTTCTACATAAATATATTTTGTTTGAAACAAGCCATTAATAAACATTGTCACTGCTGAGTGGCCACAGCCCTGGCTCACCCGTCTCAGTATGCTGGTCACTGCACGGGGCAGGCCCTCCTCAGCCTGGCCAGCGGTGGGTCCTGACTTGACTGGCTATGGCCGGGGCTAAGACTCAGTGTCCCCTTCCCTGGCCTGTGGGAATGGAGGTGAGCATGGTACTCACCCTCTGTGTGCCCCCTGGCCCTCACCCACTATGCCCTGTGCTGGGGGGTGGGGGGTTTCGCGAGTGTCTCACTTGGTAAGAATCCTCACTTCTACAAGGGCCTGTCCGGGAGAGCTGGGAGCCCTGGTGGCAGTGGACCAAGCACTGAGCTGCTCACTGCAGGGGCAGCAGTTCGAGCCCACTACTCACTCAGCAGGCGAGAGAGGCTGTCTGTTCCCAGAGAGACTGCAACCTCGGAGACACACACAGGAAACTAAAGGGTCCCTGTGAGTCGGCCTGAATGGCAGTGATTTGGGGTGGGGGTGATCTGATAGCCAGCAGGGAGTGGGTGGCCCCGTCTTGGTCAGCACCCCTCCACGTGCAGAGCCCAGTGCCCCGACCTGGACAGCGTCATTTGGTCTGTCTACGTGCCCACCGCTTCTTGTAAGGAGCCCTGTGGCCCAGGGGTTACGTACGCATTAGGTTGCTAATCATTGCAAGGTCGGCAGTTTGAAGCCACCGGAAGAGTCCCCGGCAGAAAGACGAGGCTTTCTTTTCCCTTTACGGAGTTGCCGTTTCAGAAACCCCCAGGGGCAGTTAGACCCTGTCCTACAGGGGCCGCTGCGAGTCGGCTTCACCTCGACGCCAGTGAGGTGATCATTCATTGTCTCGGCAAATACTTGAGCATTCCCTCTTGGGCAGACACAAGTCTGAAGGGTGTGTGTGTGACACAAGTCTGAAGGTGTGTGTGTGTGTGTGTGTACGTACGCACTTATGCTTCACTACAGGGGTGTGTGTGTGTGGTGTGGTGTGTGTGTGTATACATACACACTTGTGCTTTACTACAGGGGCCCCCTGCTACAGAACTCTGGGTAGAGAAGGGGGCATCTTGCTACCTGGGAACACTGGTATGGCCTATGCCTTCCTGACCCCTTTACATTTCAGGAGCAACCCACCCCCACCCCACCCCCACTGAGTGGACACCATTGGCCCAGACCTTCTAAACCCCATGCTGTCATCAGATGCCGTCGACCTGGTTCCGACTCTCAGGAACCAGCAACAGGACACACCGCCCGTCCGCTCTGCTCTCGCAGTCGTTCTTGAGGCCGGACCCCTGCTGCAGCTGCTGTGTCTCCCTGTCTCATCGAGGTCCTTGCTCTCGCTGCTGCCCGATACAGAAGCATGACATCCCCCTCCAGGGTCTGGCCTCCCCAGGACGTGTCCCAAGTACAGGAGAGGAGCTCTCGCGGTCCTGGCCTCTAAGGAGCATGCGGGTAGAAAAGTGACAGGAGGGACAAGAGTGAGCCAGCCCCAAGTGGACAGCTGACTGTCGAGGGCATGTGCTCCGAGAAGCCGCTCCACCTGATCATGCCATTCCCCAGCCCCATCTGCACACCCCCTCCCAGGCCTCCGCGGCCTCTCACAGCCCAGGTCTCCGAGGCTGCCAATGCCCCCTTCCCCTTCCGCCCCCTTCCCCGCCGGACCATGTGTCAAAGCCGAGGGTGGAGTCCACATGGTCCTGCTCATGCTACAGAGCCGGACACATGGCCACCGCCCGTTCTGTTACTTCTCCACCGAGACGGTCCACCACCTGTCAGTTGTCCCCTGTGGTGGCTTGTGTGTTGCCGGACGCTGGAAGCTATGTCCCTGGTATTTGAGATACCAGCAGGGTCACAATGAGGCAAGAGGGGGTAAAGGGGGGGGGAAGCAGTAAGGCTTATGGGGTGTTAGAAGAAACAGCTGCAAACATCCATTCGTCAGACCTTGGAATGCAGGAAGTGTGCATCTAGGAAAGTTGGAAGTTGTCAGACACAAGAAGTAGAGCGGCAGCGACGGAGAGGAAGACCCTCACCGAGATGGATCCCCTAGGGGCTCACGTGTGG